CCCCCCCCCCCGTAAATATGTTCTAGATCCGCGCCTGATCTATAATATATTTACAATCTATACATTAAGATATAATCAGTAAGTTTAATGAATTTTACAATGACACTTAGACAGTAGATGAATAGGAAGGCTCCCAGTGGTGCCACCGGACTAGTTATATTTAAATATTGTTATGATTTTAGCAGGTCACTGAACCATTACCTTTTTAACTTTCTAGGGAAGAGTGGCAGAGAATAGTTTATTGATTAACGGATTAGAATGAGAATGGAGCATTGATAAAAATTAAATGTAATGAAATTTGGCTAGGTCTGAGAGTTTGTAGGTTCAGGTCTTTATTGAGATTTTTTTGGTCACATACAAAGGGGCAGAGGTTATTAAGCGGGAGGAAATAAATTTAAATGCTTGCAGGGTTCTGGTGTTTGACGGCTTTACCAACTCCCAAAGTTGTATGACATAGAGCAACACCGGACGGATTATTAATTTGTACCCTGCAGTGAATTTATAAGTTAAAGATAGTTTTGATTTTAGAAGAGGTCTTAAGAGATGCAGTTTATAATTTACAGATTTTCGTTTTTGTTTTAAATTCGAGCTCCAGTTAAGACGTTTATCATATATTAACCCCAGATATTATTTTATTTTGTTTGCTGATAGAATTACTGTGTTGAACGTGACAGGTGGGCAGTCGGATTTACGCATTGTGAAAATCACATAAGTGGACTTGTTTTGGTTAATTTTTATTTTCTACCAATTTTTCTATAAGTAAATTATACTTAGATGACTTTGGATCATCTGACAGGCGTTTGGGAATCATGGTGTGCAGAGGCTGAAATTAGTATGTCATACACATATGTACCAAGAAATGTATAGGTTGTGTCTGGAATGTTATAGATGAACACAAAATATAGAAAAGGAGCGATGTCGCTGCCTTGTGGGACCTCAGTTCTTATAGGATAACGAGTATAATAGCTGTTTTTAAGACGAACCGTGAAGGAACAGTCAGAAACTATCACGATCCCTATAAAACGAATGTTCATATAACGTAAAGTGTATTATATCTATATTCTATAATCAATTATATATGCTAAAATAAAGCACAACCGTTGTCGTCATCGACGAGTTGCCGGGAAAATAAATAAAAAAATAACTTAACTAAAAATAAACGAATACAAAATTCAAATATACCATTCAAAATGTTTATACCTATGGTAAAATAAATTAAACAATATGTACGTTAATTATACAAAAAATAAATAAATATTCAACTCAATTTCGGCACCCTACACGGCTATGCTACTGTATAGTTCGCAGTACCTTTAAAAGGAGCCATTAGTTCACTATTTATTCGTTAGATATTTAGTGATTGTTTATTGTTTATTTACTGTTCATATAATCCATCATTAAGTGTAAGATATTATGTTTATTTAAATTCATTAAAATTGCCTAGATCTAACTCCTAAAAAAGGGAGGTGGACGTTTTGTGGGTTATTGCGTAATAATTACGAAATTATAAAGTTGAAAAACCACTAGGGAAAGAGAATCACTAAAAGTATTAAGTAGGTACCTAATAAAAGAAAATATATTAATCTGTGTCAAACTTTTTATTTATTTTATTTTTTTTATTGGTCCACGTTAAACGGTTTTCGTAAACGATTTTTGAGTATATATTCTTGGAATTGGAGTAAACTGAATTAATATAAAAAAAAAATATATTACATACATTAGTGTAACGATTAAATTAAATTGGTCGATTAAAATATTTTAAAAGTACTTAGATGATGTGTATTTTTTACGCCGTATTTCCGTCCATCACCTAGGTTTGTTAAACGAAAGTAAAAAAAAAAAATCTAATTGGAAAATTTTATAGGTATAAATTTTATTAGATATCTAATACAATATACGGAATGATCCACTAAGTAAGCTCACCACTTTTTTCTTCATCAATAATACAGTTATTCAAAATCTGATTTTCTGAATTTTCAAATGACCTTATCTTCAAATTCTTGAGATATTTTGTACTATTTAAGAAGTGTCTTGTGGAGATACTAACTTCTGTTTTTAAAATTTGCAATTTAGAAGCGGTCACTTTTCCTACAAAAGAAACTTGTAGACGCCTGATCATTAAAAGTTATCGTCATTCTAGACTAAGAGGCCAGGAGGTAACTAAGCCAAATATTAACGTCACTTGAAAACACTTTTATATCATCGCTAGGTCTAGAGTCTCATTGATTACTATTAAAAACAAAGATAATTTTTCATTCAAATATCTTTTAAAGGTTCGGGAAGCGAGTCTCCGCTGCAATTAAACATGTCGTAATCCTTTAAGCCGACCATTTCTATGCTAGTTTCCCAAAGTTTTTTCGCCAGCTCTGGATCTCTAGCAGACGCTGACGGTTGTTTTACCTTACAATCGCTACAAAACATACAGAATAGTATATAATTGTAAATGTCGATTATATAGTACAAAGATTTTAATAATATTAAAATCTAGCAATTAGTAATAACACTAATAACTAATAACTTCTATTAAATACCTGTAATATAGTCCGGTTTCTGCTGCAGTTTTCTCATCTATCGAACAGTATAAAGTAGTCTGAGCTCCTTGTTTCGGATTCTTGGCCCACGGATAAAGGATGATACGACCCAAAAACAACATACCCGGAAAGTATACTTGTTCTAGAGTTCTGGTCAATTCGGTGAATATAATACCCGGATGCAAACTGTACACATTAACGCCGGTCCCTATTAATGCATTTATATATTAAACATTTCGTATATCATATACCTATGCTTAGTAGTAATCAATCGATCACTGTTGTAGGACATTATAATACTTATTAGTAAATGATTTCGTAAGTTTCATTACCTTCAAGTTTTCGCGACAGTTCTTTCGAAAACAACACATTGGCTAGTTTACTTTGACTGTAAGCAATAGCGGGTGAATAACCTGTGTCGTGATTGATGTCTTTGAAATTAATTGAACCGACTAAAAAAAAAATATAATTACTTTAGTTCTCATAATGAACCGATTTATACAACAGCTTAGCCCTATCAAAAAAAAAAAAAAAATTCCAAGCCCACCAAAAAATGCAATTTTTACGATTATTATTATCTTATAACACGGGATATTGAAATTATTTTGTTATTATTTTAAAATTGTATTCTATTTTGCAATATTCTTGGAGAATATACATTTTATCTCTACAGGCTCAACCTGTCGCATCCGGCAAATAAAAATATTTCATTTTTTAAAGCAACATTCAATTAAGTTGAAGACAATTTTGATTTTTAGTTGAATTATTAAACTTTATTACTACCATCATTTACATGTTTTGCATAATTATTTTTCATTGTACAGCAATAAACATTGTATAACTAGGGATAAAAATGTTTTAAACATTATAAGGCAAATGGTTATGTAAATTTGATTTTTTATTTTTAAACGTTAGCTCAATCAAAACAATATAGTCACACCTAACTCTAAAATTTTTGTAAATCTTAGCCTATAAATTTGTTAAGTTTATTAAACAATATTTTATCTAATACAAGTGTTTAGTAACTTACATACATGTGCCAGAGACGACACAATTACAATGCGAGCTGGTGCTGAACTTCGGATTCTTGGTAACAGAAGCAATGTGAATAGAAAGTGTCCCAAATGATTAATGCCGAATTGAAGTTCAAAACCATCTTCGGTTTTACCTTTAGGGCACGTCATGACGCCTATAATATTCGTTTAAGTTAAATTTCATCGTAGGTCCTATACAACTTATATATAAAAGTATAAGACTGTCAAACATGAATTGTGCACTGAACTGACCGGCATTGTTCACTAGCAGGTGAATTTGTTTTTCTTTCTGTAAAATATTTTTCGTACAACGCTTAATTGAAGCGAAAGATGCTAAATCCAATTCCTCAATGATTAATTGTCCGAGTCCGTCACCTTGTACTTCAGCCACGATTTCCGATACTGCCTGTTCCGCCTTTTTAACGTCCCGGCACGCCATTATGACTTTTGCACCTGAAATCATCATTTTAGGTGTATTAAAATGTAATATATTTACTTGAAAATTAAACTTTTCGTAGTTGCGAATAATGTTGGATATGAAAGTCTATTTTATTTTATTTTGTCATATGTATAACTTTTAACTTATAATATAATGATAGTATCTACATTTTTATCCATTAGTACGATTCTTAGCTGATCATAAATTTTAGGATAGTTTATTATATTTATATATAATAAACATAAATTTACAAAATATATCATTTTTCAATCATGAGTCATTTTATTGTGTGTTTCAATGTATTTTATAATACATTTGAAAAATTTGATAAATTTGAAATTAATGATAAATCATTACATAGAAAATACAATTCTTATCGGATAAGGCCTGTCAACCTATACTATAATACTAAGTAATTTTATGATACTCTTATATTCGCTATTAAAAGTAATTTATTTTGGTACTAATAATACAGTAAGTTAAATTAAATTTTTATTGAAAACATTGCATTTGAAAATGTTATTATGTGTATAAAACATGGTAATTAGCGTAAAAGTTTCAAGTCTCCATGAATAATATTTATGAATTATAACAAAATAACTAAAATTTTTTTTTTTGTTTAATCATTTAAATGAATAATTTAGTTCATATTATTATTTAAAATGCGTGTAAAAAGATTATATTTCAAAAAATGTTTTTGTATCAACATTTTAAGGATTCCAACCAAGCAAAATATTTTTATCGAAATTCATAAAAAAAAACTCAGATAATATTTACATTTGAGTATTTAACAACCTCGGACTTCAGTCATGAGAAAACTTTTATGAAGTTTATAAAGAGGTGAATGTTTATATTTATTATATCATACCATATAATAAATTAACTTCTGAGTGATAAATGTATTGAATTTTTAATGTCGTATATGTTTCTTTTTCTGTGAAGGTATAACTTTCTAGAAAAGATATTTAAATCATAAATTTTAAGGTAGGTAGTAGATAATATAATTTATTTTTTCATTCGGAGGATCAAAAGTAAAATTTTTTAAATTATCTTTAAAAACCAAATTTACAAAAAATGAACACTTTGACCAAATTAATCAACATTTTTAATTGTAATTTAAAAATGAATAGTTGTAAGAATTGTTGATTTCCAATAAACATTTATGAATGCATTTTTAATGCATAATGCAGTTATCAAAATATTTTTGTTCTTTTTCAGTTACTTATAGATATTTATATTTTTTTAGTTTTTATCAGACTTACGTATAATAAAATGTTTGCTGTGAGTTGTGAGTAAATTAATTTGAAAATTTAGTACAAGATTTCTCATAAGTTTAAACTACATTTAAAAAATGAAAAGTTAAGCGTTATGACAGTTTAATATTATGTAAGGGATTGAATTTAAAATTCTGATGAAATTCGAAGAAATCATAAATTATTTTGTTGACATACACAGTTACAGATCATCTCCACTCAGAATCATTTTTTATCAAATACCTATAACTATTTATCATTGAATTGGGATTTAACATATCCATTACAGCCATTTATTCAATGACGAAGTATAACCAACGCCTACTGTAGAACGGTTACGTATTTTTCTGTTTTTTTTTTGTTTATATTTTTAAACAGAATAAATATTTCTAGTAACGTTAAGAGACGCCTAGAGCTTTACATTTACAATCATTTTTAATTCAATAACGATTTACATATATAACTTTATGACCCTGACATCCAAAAGAAATTATTTTTTGTTATTTATTGAAGTTAACAACAGAAAATGAACCAAATTCTCCCACCAGCTATTATATGTATATATAAAAAAAACATTCTATTGTACGAATGATTATAAAAATCAATAGGCATTTTTTATAAATGAATATTTTATTTGGTACTTATTGGTTATCGCGACTACTTTTCTATACGTGGTTTAAAATAAATGAATAAAACATTATTAAAACTATTATAAAAACTAGGAATAAAATTAAAAATTAGAAATTAATAATTAACTTGAGGCGAAAAACGTTCAGTCATGCAATCTAAAATACCTATAAATAGATTATTGTGCTTTTGACGCCACATGAATTAAACCAAATCATTGTCTAGACTAGCGTTTCCCAAACTGTAGTCCGTGGACCCCTAGGGGTCCGCCTTGTACCAGAGGGGGTCCGCGAACGTAACTTTAAAATACTACCTATATTACATTATTAATTAATGATTTTTATTTTTATTAAGGGGGTCAGCAATCATTTTTACTATCTCTAAGGCAGCGTTTCTTAAACTTTTTTATTCGTGGAACCCTTTTTGATGTTCACTTTTAACGTGGAACCCCTATTTTTTTATAGCTTTTTAACTTTTTTTAGGATTATTTACAGTAAAAATTATAATTATTTTGTATAATAACAATATTGTTCATAACTATGTCAACAATCAGAATAAATAGTTGTTTTTCGAGTTAATTTTTAAATTCTAATTTTGAATTTTATTTTTATGTTTTTCATAGTTTTAATAATTTTTAATAATTTTTTTTTAAATTACATCACGTAAAGAAAAGTAGCCGCAAACCTATTCGATAAGCACCATTTATTTATGTTAATCACTACAATTAAAACTAAATTATTTTTGTGTTATAGTGAATACTGTTATTTTAAGTGAGAAGTTCATCTTATCACTGTACGTTATGCGCCGGTACTCATACTGTAGCCTGAAGTTTATATTAAGAGTTCTTCTTTCGATAGTTGTTACTTTATTCATTTGTTGATTGTCAATGTGCCCATTTTGGACTGGAAGCGTTCCACCCTCCCCTCAAACTTAAAAGTTATTTGTGACCATGATGGCTACCGACCATTTGCACGTAGCTATTTATATATACGTAAGTGCCCATAGTTATAAGAGTGCTCACCTAGTCTATAAAATTCTTTTGCAGTTACTTTTCCGATGCCCGTGTTCGAACCGGTGACGATGGCAGTTTTGCCATCCAGTCTGGCCTTGCTCGTGCACTTACCGCTGAACATTATATCCACGTCGCAGTGTACCTATGCGTAGATATTATATTTTAGTATACATCAAAACATGTTTACACACAGACAACTATATGGTTGTTGACTTGTTGTACGTCATATACGCGTCCTAAATATGTAGAAATGCTCTTGTGTGTGTGTATCGTAAATAATTTGACTTATTCAAATGTGGTTTTAGAAAAAAATCAGCACATTATTTTTATCGACACGCTACTCTGAATACGAAATACAGTCAATGCGCATATACCTACCTAATATATTTGTATATGCAAGCACGCTGTATAGTATTCGCGGTTTGTTTTAATCATTATTAGTCACAATTAAATGTAAATAATACATATTAATAATCACCTACCTATTATAATATGTATAACGAGCTGTAGAGCTGCTTCAGACGCTGCAATGCGTGCGCGCAGTACGACTATTGGACGATGGTCGTCGGTGCAGGTCGACGTCTGCTGTTGGTTGCTGGTGGTTAATGGTTATCTTATCTAGGTATTCCCGGATAACTGTGGTCGACGGTAGTCGTAGTTGCAGCCGTGAAACAGGTACGCCGTCCGGTCGGATAATAATAAATACGTTTCGGTTACGGTTTATTAAACTGCAGACGATGACGTACACGACGGTGCGGTAAAACAGGCAGGTGCGCAACGTCGAGGTACCAACCGCGGACTTCACCGGTGGACATACCGAGCGGCCGATTTACGCCGTCGGTTATCGTCCCCAATCGTTAGTGACGCGCACCAAAGCAAAACATTATAATAATATGTGATAAAGATAATGTCAATACGACAATGGCAATAAAATAAAATTACTACGCGCGATACGCCAATGAGGACTGCGTACCGTACAATATAATTATATTATACGATACAATAATAATATAAAATAATGATAATAATATTTTATTGCTCTCGCGGAACCGATTGCCGCCGCGTTCGTGTGCGCGCGCGCCGCTCCGATCGTACGGGCGGGCAGCCGCATAGTTTCACCGGTCCGGTTCTTCGCGCGGACCGGTTATTTCTTTTTCCGAATAATAATCAGGTAATACTGGTAAGTGGTAATCCGTTCGTTCTCGTACCCACCTAGCTCCGAGTTTTTTTTTCCCCCCCATCGCGCACAGTCCACTGACCAGAGCCGTCGTGTCGGTCGTCGGCGGAATGTCATTACTCATTCGTTTTTCGTCACGCGTCTTTGACGGCCTCGCGCACGACACGGCATCATTATTATTTATTTTACGATTGACGGCGGATTACACGCACACGCTGCTGGACAGTTTCCGCGTCCGTCGAATTCCCCAACGATTCTGCGTGCAGTGCGCGATAACCCGATGACGGATTTAACAATGGTTTGCCGGTCCCACGCGCCGCCAAATGAAATCCACCGCCCTTGTCTTACAAAAAAAAATCACTTTTATGTTACTGCTCAAATATTTATTTTCTCGATGATATGCGATTTTTTTTTTTTTTTTATTCGAGTCAAGTTCAAAAAGAGAGCGTTTCGATTCGAATAATTTGATAACTACTATTTATTTTAATCAAGTAGAAATGTATGCAGGAAATACTTTACAAAGTCAATAATTCACGCGTACGTACATATACTTACTAGCGGACGGACAATTATTGACTAATTCAATAATAAATGGATATACCTTAGAATCGAATTGTCAAATAAACGTTGTAATACTACGTAATAGTATACGCGTCGAGTTGTACCTGATCACGATCCCCCTTTTTTCTTTTTTTTTATACCTATCTATAACAGACGCGGATCCAAGGGGCCATCCCCCCCCCCCCATAGACTGGTGAATTTTCTATTATATCTATTTTCGACAGCCGATAAAATGCATTGTTTTGCCGATTGCGTTTCGGCCGTGTCCGTTTTTATCGGTCGCCGTTAAAAAGCAAATCTAATCTAATCGAATATTTAAACTTGTTTGATGCAATAAAATGTCTAACCTTAGCGCTTAAATGGACTTGCATTGCTTAATTGCTATAGAAATATTAGTATTGACCGCGAAGAAGTAATTGACGAATTTGCCAAATTTAAAAGACGAAACGATTTTGTTCTGTGATCATTTTTTAATGTTTGTTATATTTTATTATTAAGTATTATTAATTATATATTATGTATCATTATTAATTAAACCATTTATATTACTTATCTAATTATTTTATTTATTTTATTGTACTGATAAACTGGGATTTAAATAATAATATTTACTTATTAGCTTACATAGTATGTACAATGTTTTTATTGGACTTAGGCTAAAATTTCATTTAAAATGACCCCCCCCCCCGTAAATATGTTCTAGATCCGCGCCTGATCTATAATATATTTACAATCTATACATTAAGATATAATCAGTAAGTTTAATGAATTTTACAATGACACTTAGACAGTAGATGAATAGGAAGGCTCCCAGTGGTGCCACCGGACTAGTTATATTTAAATATTGTTATGATTTTAGCAGGTCACTGAACCATTACCTTTTTAACTTTCTAGGGAAGAGTGGCAGAGAATAGTTTATTGATTAACGGATTAGAATGAGAATGGAGCATTGATAAAAATTAAATGTAATGAAATTTGGCTAGGTCTGAGAGTTTGTAGGTTCAGGTCTTTATTGAGATTTTTTTGGTCACATACAAAGGGGCAGAGGTTATTAAGCGGGAGGAAATAAATTTAAATGCTTGCAGGGTTCTGGTGTTTGACGGCTTTACCAACTCCCAAAGTTGTATGACATAGAGCAACACCGGACGGATTATTAATTTGTACCCTGCAGTGAATTTATAAGTTAAAGATAGTTTTGATTTTAGAAGAGGTCTTAAGAGATGCAGTTTATAATTTACAGATTTTCGTTTTTGTTTTAAATTCGAGCTCCAGTTAAGACGTTTATCATATATTAACCCCAGATATTATTTTATTTTGTTTGCTGATAGAATTACTGTGTTGAACGTGACAGGTGGGCAGTCGGATTTACGCATTGTGAAAATCACATAAGTGGACTTGTTTTGGTTAATTTTTATTTTCTACCAATTTTTCTATAAGTAAATTATACTTAGATGACTTTGGATCATCTGACAGGCGTTTGGGAATCATGGTGTGCAGAGGCTGAAATTAGTATGTCATACACATATGTACCAAGAAATGTATAGGTTGTGTCTGGAATGTTATAGATGAACACAAAATATAGAAAAGGAGCGATGTCGCTGCCTTGTGGGACCTCAGTTCTTATAGGATAACGAGTATAATAGCTGTTTTTAAGACGAACCGTGAAGGAACAGTCAGAAACTATCACGATCCCTATAAAACGAATGTTCATATAACGTAAAGTGTATTATATCTATATTCTATAATCAATTATATATGCTAAAATAAAGCACAACCGTTGTCGTCATCGACGAGTTGCCGGGAAAATAAATAAAAAAATAACTTAACTAAAAATAAACGAATACAAAATTCAAATATACCATTCAAAATGTTTATACCTATGGTAAAATAAATTAAACAATATGTACGTTAATTATACAAAAAATAAATAAATATTCAACTCAATTTCGGCACCCTACACGGCTATGCTACTGTATAGTTCGCAGTACCTTTAAAAGGAGCCATTAGTTCACTATTTATTCGTTAGATATTTAGTGATTGTTTATTGTTTATTTACTGTTCATATAATCCATCATTAAGTGTAAGATATTATGTTTATTTAAATTCATTAAAATTGCCTAGATCTAACTCCTAAAAAAGGGAGGTGGACGTTTTGTGGGTTATTGCGTAATAATTACGAAATTATAAAGTTGAAAAACCACTAGGGAAAGAGAATCACTAAAAGTATTAAGTAGGTACCTAATAAAAGAAAATATATTAATCTGTGTCAAACTTTTT